ATACAGGAATCAGTCAGAATCGCAGGGTGCCATAAACTCCCAAGGATACAGTCAGAGGCTGAGAAGAGAGAAGCCAAACCATCCACACTAAGGAAAGCAGGTAAGACCCTGCCTTCCCTTCAGGCAGCATCTCCAACTCTGAAGGAGCTCTGTTCAGGGAATCACAGCTTCTAATTCTGATGCACTGGGGGGAGGGGCTTTCTAAGGGTTGGTTAGTTTTCTCAAAATCTGTCATGATTGTGAAAAGTTGAAGCTGAAACTTAGATGGGACAGGGAGTTAAATGAAATGCAAATTTTGACATATCCTCAGATCCCCAAGTGCCACCATTGGGCTTGTGTGGAATGCACTCCCCCACAGGGGAATGAACTGAGTCTCTTTCTGTTTAATGGTTTTGAGAGGGAACACTGTCTGCTGTGATCTAGTGAGGCTCACTCAGAACTGCTCCTCCTGCAGCTATTGAGATACTAAGTTACCACAGGGCTGTTGATTTGCAGAAAGAAAGTACAGAAATGAGACTCAGTTGAGCAGCCATTGTCCCTGGTAAAGGCAAAGAGAGAGAAACACTCACAATGAGAGAGGTTGATCACAAAAGCAGCCTCCTTTCTATAGGCACCCAAACTGCATTTACCCTGGGTGCCTTCCTTCAGCGCTGGTGTAAATTCAGTGGCCTTTCAGGGCCCACGTGCTCCTGACCCTCCACCAGCAGATCTCAGCTGCAGCACTTCACTGAAGAGCTTCCTCTAGAAAAGTCTCATAGTGCAGCCCTCAGGGAGGCCTCCACTCTCTACAGAATCCCCTGATCTCAGCCCAGTTTTCCTGCCTTCAGGGAACTCTTGCCCTGACTTCCTTGGCTGCCACTTGCCTCCTTTCTCATCTCTTGTCTGTGGCCACCTCTCTATGCCAGATCCTTACCCCGCCTCCTCCACTCCTTGTCTTTCTCTCCTCATATTTTTTCTTCCCCTGTTCTAACAAGGGAATATGAGCAAGAACAAAAACAGTAAGTAGAAGCCCTAGAAGCACTTTGCTGAAAACATCTTAGGAAAAGTCTCTATCCATTCCTCTCTATTTCTTTCCCTATTCATAATCCTTATTTCATAGAAAGTTTTTTGAATTCTAGCATTTGCATTTGAGCGATTATATGGCACTGACTTCAGTTTCACTCTCTGTGAAGCTCAAGGAGCGCATGGTCAGGCACCAGCCATGCCTGTGCCCCTCCAAATCCTTGCTAGGTTCCTATTTATGTGCTTGCCTGGTCATCTACTTTCATAAAATTTACAAAACAGCATGTTGCTTTCCATTCTGGGAAGGCAGGGTGAGAAATGCATCCTCATTTCAGTGAAATAAGCAAAGCCCCTAGAAAGAGGAACATACTTTAAAATCACTTGTAAATGTCCAAAAGGCAAACATCAACTCATGAACCATGTACTCAGGAAGGGCTTTATACATTATAAAAATTAATGAACTGATAAATATTTGATTTATTACATATTCCAGGAATGGAAAATTTTCTTCAAATGATATTGTGCACCATTTATTGTCTCTAATATTTTTTCTAAATTTTTATCTGAATTCAAAAAGAAACTTTCTGAAATAAATTAAATGGAAAATTTGAGTTGTGAGAGCATTTGAATGTTCATGTAAAAATGTTACCATTTTTTTAATTGAACTGCTTGGATAATATTTTCATAACTTCCTCAGCTGATCCAAGTTCTCCCTCATGCATCTTGTTGCACACAGTATTTGTTTGTTCATTCTGGGGAATTTCATCAATCGAATTCCTCAGCACTGGGGGTCTGCCCATTAGCTCACTTGTTTAAGTGCCTCAGTCTCAAGGTGCTGTTGTTCAATCCCCAGACCCTCAGGCCTTACCAGACCTGCCTTAAGGCATCCTGAGCCAGCCAAAAATTAAAAAAAAATAAAAAAATAAAAATCCATCTCAAGTTTTACTTCACTACAGGCTTTCCTGAAATTAAATTTGTATTGAGAAGGCTCATGTAATCCTGATGAGTTTACCTTTATGCCTGATTTCTTTTCTTTCCTTTGGTAAATTTTAATATTCTCTCATCTTGGTAGACAAGTGGGATTTTTACTATAGTTTGTCATGAGGACTTTGTGTGTGTGTGTGTTGGAATCTTTCTTCATGCTAGAAAGTTTTTTTGTTGTGATTTCTGTAAAGATGTTTTCTTTCATGTGTGCTCCTTTCTATTTTTTCTCTAACTAAATCCATTTAGCCTTAAGTTGTCATTTCAGTGTCATCTAGGAACTATAGGGTGTATTTTGTTTTTATCTAAAACTTCTTGAATAATTCACTATATTTTGCAGAAGAAATAACAGAATATATAATTAATTAAAGAAACATAGTCAATCATGGAATATTGCAATAGAAAGAAAAATAGTATAAAATTTTGGACTCATACATCAGTAAAATTACATATTAATATGTATAATGGAAATCAAATCTTCAAAGCTACTTGAGACTGATGTAAACTCTAACCAAGAAATGTTCATGTCTCACTTAGGAATTTTGAGTCTACAATATCTTATTTCCTCTCTCCATTCCTCCCAGGTACCACCTGTAGGTCCTCAAACTTGGTGTCCAGTAGCTTTCCTATTTTCATTGTAGTATTCTCAATCTTCCTTTCTCTCTCTTATAATCCTCCCACATATGAAGTTTCATCTTAATCTATCACTGTCTTGTTGATCTTATTTTTTGATATGAGCAAATAAAATTGTAATCATGATAAAACATACATAGCATGTAATAGTAACTTAATGATTTCAACAAAATAGTTCATTAACATTAAGTATATTTACATGATGTGCAACAAATCTCTGCACATTTTATTTGTTTTTTTGTACTTAATTCTTTTTTATTTTTATCAGTTTTTATTGAGAAATAAATATGAATGAGACATTTTCACAGCTGATTAATAGGACAGTTGTGATAATCAATACATTGTGCATTGTTATCTTCTAAGTGGTTATCCATAGTACAAGAAGCAGACAGGATATTCTGTCCAAACACTATTAATACACCTCTTTCTTCTTATTGAACTAAGCAAAAGTAGCTATAAATTTATCCTAACTATTTTGTATATATAAATACAAAATGATCTTTCCTTTGTATTCTTTTTTTTTTGACCTGTCAGAAGTGAATATTCTATTGGCATCTAAATACTGTAGGTATTTGAATTCCACTAAGCAATCTAACACTATCTAGCAGTCTATAATATTAGTGGGCTATCCTAAGAAGTTATTGACTTGAGCCTTTTACAGCTCATCATATTAATATGCCTTTACACTATATACCTTGTTTTTATACTTTTCTGCTGGATGGTTAAAACCAAGATAAAGCAAGACCTATATAACAAGAAATGTAAGTTTTGTATCTGATTGCACATTTTATTTGGAAATCTAAAACTACTTACATTAAGCCCAACATCCATTTTCCTGCATATATATATATGGATTGGGTCTTTGAATTGGGGGCCTGACTTTTTAAATTCTTTATATGTTCTACATAGAAGTCCGTTGTCTGAAGGACAGTTGTCTAAATTCTTTCCTAATACATGGACTCTCTTTTTATTCTGTTGGTCAGTTTTTTGTATGTGCAAAACAAACAAACAAACGAACAAACAAACAAACATTTTAATAATATGAGAGCCTAGTTGTTAATTCTTTTAAACATTTTCAGTGCAGTTTGATTTTTGTTCATGAACTCTTCCTATCCCCGTGTCTTCAAGATTTCTGTGTACTTTCTCTTCCAGTAGATTTAGTATTTCTATTCTAATGTACAGATCTTTTATTCATTTTGACTTTAGTATATGCTGATAGACACGGGTCCAATTTTAGTCTTTGGTATGTGGAGAAGGATTTTTTCCTGAAAATAACCCCAACAATATATGTGCACTCATGTGAATAGCACCACAATTTGTCATAGCTAAATCTTGGAAAACACCCAAATGCCCACTAACTGGGGAATGGATAGAAACTGGGATATTTTCATACAGTGGAGTACTACTCAGCTAAAAAGATAGAAGCTCAAGCCTTTTATAGGGAAATGAATGTAACTAGAGACCATACTTCAAAGTGAAATAAATAAGAACCACACATGTAAACATCATTTTACCTTCCCAGGATAAGAACCTAAAAGAGTAGATAAAATCTGAAAGGTACAATAGATATTGTGAAAGGGAAAAACAACTGCTCAAAAAGAAAGAACAACTGGGATTAGGGAAGAGAGAAAACTAAAGAGTAATACATTTAAGCTAAATGTACTACTTCTTTCTTAATTTTTGATCAATTTTACATGCTTGTATCAGGTAATCTCAACAAATACTTTGAAGACAACATATGCAACATAACAGCCATTATTGAATTCCTATCACCTTGTTTTTTAAAATTCTATATTGTTTCTAGGCCAGTCAAATAGCTCAGTGGATTAAAGTACCTTCAAACAGGCTGAGGAGTCAGGGGTTTGATCACTGGGCATGCCGTGCCTGTCCCGCCCCCAAGGTATGCTAAATGGCAAGTTAGACTGGGTGGGGTGGCACTCGCCTGTAATCCCAACTCTTGAAAAGCTGTAAATAGGCAGATCACTCTAAGTCTGATCTAGTAGTGTGAAAATGAACACCATGTAGACCCTTCCCTAACATAAAAAGTAAATAAATAAAATAAATATATTGTTTCTAATATTTTTTATTCTCTTTAAAATTAAAAAGTCAAAGATCAGTTCTTTATATTAAGAACTTAACAACAAATATTATAAATGTTTACTTGTGCCCAGACAAATACACAACTTTACTTGATTTTTAAGTTTAAATCTGTCATTATTAAAATGTAAAAATCCCTGCGATTCTGTAAGAAAGAAAGAAAGAAAGAAAGAAAGAAAGAAAGAAAGAAAGAAAGAAAGAAAAAGAAACAATTCCTCGGCACTAACAATGCAGATTCCACCTCTTTCCATACTTGCCCTTGCGGACCAGAGGATTACTCACAGGACATGGCCTCTGAGACCCACATGCCAGGCCCTGTGTGCCTCATTGAGAACGTGAGAGAACAGCTGATGGTGAACCAGGAAGCTCTGGGGATCCTGTCCGCCATCTCCCAGCCCGTCGTGGTCGTGGCCATCGTGGGCCTGTACCGCACAGGCAAATCCTACCTGATGAACAAGCTGGCTGGGAAGAAAAAGGGTGAGTGCTGCCAGCAGGGCTCTGCGGATCCCTGACCACCCCCACTGCCCGCATCCTGCATGGGGGTGGGGGACAGGTAGAGAGGGGAGAAGGGCCTGGGAGGGATATTGTGCCCTAATCTGCCACTTTCAGGAGGACATTTGATCTAAGGCATGACAGTGAGCTCAACAGGCTCACCTTACTATGCCTTAGCTTCCCCTTGGAAAGCATGAATTAGTCCTTTTCTAAACAAAGAAAGGCAGCAGTATGAATAATGAATTTACATGACAGTAAACTCTAGCATTCTTGTGAAGATGCTCATAAAGTAAGAGCCAGTTTATACTGTCGTTTGAGGTTAAAAAATATTTCACTTACATTACATTTTTTCTTTTTTAAAAATTATTTTAAAGGGATTATTATTATTATCATCATCATCATCATCATCATCATCATCATCATCATCATCATCGTTATTACTATGTATTTGGCATATAGTCTCACTATACAACTTGCACTCATGGTGATACTCCTGTTTTCAGCCTCCCCAGTGCTAGGATTACAGGTGTGGACCACCATACACCAACTCAGTGGCCGGCTCAGTGCACACTGTGTGGCATGTGGTGCGGAGGATGGAGCCCTGTCCCTGAGCTTGCCTAAGCAGGCGTTTAGTCTCCCGACTTATCTCACCAGCCCTCTTGTATGAGTTAAAACTTACACAATATACAATTTGCCCTTTGAAACATTCTTATGCAATCAGTTTCTGGCACTAAGTTTATTTACATATTTGTGCAGTCACCATTTCCATCCCTTTCCAGATCAGTCTCCTCCTCCCAAAGAGGAAAGCTGCATCCACTAAACACCACCTCCCTGTGAGCATCCCCCACCACCATTCTAGGTTCTGCCTCTATGAACTTGACTATTCTACACACATTCTACCACACATGTGGGAACAAAAATATTTTCCTCCTGTGACTTTTTTCACTTAGTGTAGTGTCTTTATGTTTCAACTGTGTCACATACGTCAAAATTTCCTGTGTTTTGCAGGCTTCTCTCTGGGCTCCACAGTGCAGTCTCACACCAAAGGAATCTGGATGTGGTGCATGCCTCACCCCAAGGACCCAAAGCGTACACTAGTCCTGCTGGACACCGAGGGCCTGGGAGATGTTGAGAAAGTAAGGATGGATGGTTCCATTTGGATGAGCTCCTCATCTGGGAATATTCGCTACAATAAGCAGTTTTTTTCTTATGTGAAATACTGTTTTTAAGCATAATATACCTTTTCATTTGTTTGCTATATTACAGAGGCTCAGGTTAGCAGCCAAAATCAGAAACATATTCATATGCCAGAATCCTAGCAGAAAAGCAGCATGGTAAATATGATGTTAAAGTACCAACTGCAATCTATAAGCAAAGCACGTGATCCTGGATGGAAAAAGAAAGCACACACACACTCAGTGTGATGAGTCTCATCCTACTGCAGACTGTAAGGAGTTGGGTGTGGAAGCCTCGTGACTTTGTATTTCCACTAGAAATCGAGTCCTAGCTTGGTACACTTAGAAATAGTTTGTCTTTTTTTAGCTTCAGCTTTCTGATATGTCAAAATGTGTAGTATCTTCACATAAATCTCCTAAAATTGTTTTAAACATCTAATAAGGTAGATAACAGTATGGCAGGTAACAATTGGTATAAAAGAACTACAAGTACTATAAACACACATTTATTTATTTATTTAAGAAGTCCCAGGGAATATAAAGTGGAGCATGCCAGGGAATATAAAGTGGAGCCTGCTAACATTGGCTTATGTCACTAGCCCCGTATTTATTTATTTATCTTGAGGAAGGGTATCACTAAATTTCCTAGACTGCCATTGAACTTAGTCTCCTATTTCTGCCTTGCATGCAAGTGGGGTTACAAACAGGCACCACTTCATGAGGTTCTACATCTCTTACAACTAAATTTTGCTACTGAAAAAGAGAAATTTTTAAATTTAAATTTTCTTTAAGAACTAAGACCTAGCTGTGCTTTCTTGCTGCCTGGCTCTGAGCATCTATGCCATGGGACTGTGAAGGAAGCAGCCTCCCCTGCCTACTTCAGCTCTAGGGTATCAGTTATTGGTCCTGCCCAGAACAGTACAGTTCTGCTCTGCAAAGATATGCTCTGCTTGATGTATCCATATAATACAAAAAATTTGAAAGTAAACATTAAGAGGAAAACTTCCCCAACACTGAATCAATAGTGAATCTGGTAGACATCCTCAGAAGTAGGGAAGAGGAGCAAGCACTTAAAACAATGAGAAACACCAAGGAGATGGTTGAGTTGCAAATTTTGCTTCAGAGCAAGAATGCTGAGGCAGTGACTGGAAAGGGAGGCAACAATGTTAAGGCTCTGAATATGGCCACACTGTGAATGTTTCAGTCCCAGACAACAGTGGCCTGAGTGTACAATATCAGTGCAGGTACTGAAAGTGTTGGAGAAATTCTGAAGAACATCATCCTGCCTTGGGAGAGGTCTGAGGTTGCCATCACCCACTGCAATTACTAAGCTCTCACTGCAATGTGATGCTACAGAATGACTAAATTACCAACACATTAAGGAAGTGATTTCAACTGTTAGTTGAGATATTAATTCTTCAAAGTTGGGCAGGAGAAATTATTGTGGTCAAAGACATTACAATTAAAGAAGTTTCAGAGAACACACAGGCAACAATCAACTTTCCTAAGAATGTTGTTCTTGTTCTATTGGCAGAGTTGTTCTTATTGGATAGAGCCTTATAGGGATGTGGAGTGCATAGAGTTCATCTTATGTCGTTTTTTTTGAAATTTTTAAAATTAATTTTACTGAGAAATAACAATGAGACAGTTTCAAAAACAATTAGTAGGACAAATTCAATAATTAATATATTGCATATTGTTATCTTCTTCGTGGTTATTCGTAGTAAAAGATGCAGACAAGATATCCTGTCCAAACACTATTAGTACAAATCTTTCCTCTGATTGAATTAAGAGAAAGTAGCTGTGTATCTATCCTTGACCTTATAACTGAATTGGCCATCAAAAGATGTGTGCAACCTTATGAGCCAAATTTTTATGATGAAACTTGTGAATATGGTCATTTTAATATGATATTAAATGAAGACCCAGTCCTAGCCCAGGTCCGGTGAGTGTGTGGAGAGCTTCCTGCTACCCTGCGCCAGCAGGACCAGTCCCAGCCCAGGCGCAGCGTGGGCC